GACGAGAGAGAGAGATAAGAGGAGAGACAAATATGTGATATGCCCTTGGTACCAATCACAAATTTTTGTGCGTTGATAGTGATTGTTGTCACATCCCCATTCCACTTATTTACCCATCGTGAATATCGGTCTCATGATTTGATATGAGCTGGAGGGAGATGCTGACAAACCCACTGACCAAGCACAATTTTTTTACTGTGCTGGTACCAAGATACCCATATTCTCATATATATATATATATATATGATATATATATATATATATATATATATATATTATATATATATATATATATATATATATAATATATATTATATTATATATATATAGTTATTAATATGTAAAGTTATATATATTTTTAAGTGTACATTATCATTAATATATATTTGTATATAGTTACATATATATTTCTAATGCATACTATATATAATTGTAGTATAATTTGGTCATTAATGTATACTTATATATACTTACATATAATATATAGCTATATACTAATATGTAAATATATACTAATACTTACTTATATAAATATAATAAGATTGATCTAAATTTTTTTTAATCAAATTTTAGCAAAAAATTAAAAAAAAATACAAAAAGTCGATCCTGGATGGCCCAGAGCCCTTCCCGACTTGGCCTGGAACTGGACGCGGTCCCAGTTCGAGCACCTCAGGTCCGGGTCCGGGCTAGACATTTTGCCCGACCCGGACCCGAAAATCCGAGCCAAGCCGGGTCGAGCCGGGCCGAGCCGGGCCATTTGGACAGCGCTAGATATTTCTCATGCTCCAAATACAATGTCCACATAAGATCCAAATTTCTAAGATGCTATAGAATGTTGAACAGAGTTTCTCAGCTGATCTTTTTCTTCTCCATCTCTTTCTTTTTTTCCTTTCTCTCAAGGACTCGGCACTGTTCGCGGGAAAAATCGTTGCTTTCTTCACTGATTCCATTGCTATCTTAAATAACTGTTTTTCGGTTACAAAGATCCGGTCTTTTTATAAGCTCCGGTTACAATGAAAATCAAATAAAAGAAAAGAAAAATTACAACTTTTTATCCTTTTGTGTCGAACAAATCGCGAGCTCCTGTTTTGCGGTCGCTCGCTTGCGTGGGTTGTTTGCCTACGCTGGGGTTTATCCGTGGACCACCGCGAGATCTAGATCCGGTCGGATCTACGCAGTATGACGGGTATTATTTCGCCAAGGAAATAATAGCCGAGGGTACTATTTCGCCAAGGAAATAGTAGCCTTTAATTCTCGGGATCAAAGACCAAGCTTTGATCCGGAGTACGCCTGCGTAGATCTGAGATCCGGTCCTCTCGAACTCTTGCCTTATTTGGCGTTGACGATCGCCGAGCACCAGATCTAGATGAACAAGTCCTCGAAGTCCCAAAGCTTGGATCTTTTTTAGATCTGAGTCTTCAATCCAGCAGAGCTTCGCCTCTCCAAATTTTCCAACCTTTCAGATCTAGAGTCCAAAAGCAAAAGTGCAAAAACAATACAGATCGACAATGAATAAACATAAAAGGAACAAAGATTAGAGATGCTCAATATTGTCTTTGTCGCGTCGATCTGGAATTTTCTGAAGCAGCACTCGCTGTAATGATGGTACTGGGTCGTCCGGCTCTGAGTCTACTTCGCACAGCTTCTAACGGATCGTAAAACGGAGTCTTCTACGAATTTCTATGAATTTCTGAGTGAAGGCTGCGCTTCTGCGTATTTTCTACGTATTCTGCCTGTATATCTTCTCTTTTCTGCCTCTCTAACCTTTTTACTGCCGTCATTAGCAGTCCTTAAATAGGATTTATTACCCCTAGGCAGCTTAGGGTTTTAATTCTGGCCGTTGGATGTGCCAAATGTCGTCATCTGGGCACTAATAAGAGTCCAAATCTGGTTATAACTCCAAAAGAGATCTTGAATGAATCAGTGCCGTTCGATCTTGATCGGGTTGCTCATGTGTGTCCACGTGGCGCTCAATGATTCGCTGAATTCCTCTCCCACAGATCGCAATCAGATAGGAGGCGTCTGCAGCCGTTGATCACCGCGAGAATCTCGAGGCAGCTTCATATGGCTATGGATAAATCGCGAGAATCAAGGACCTTGATTCACGTGATTGCTATGGAAAATCGCAACATCTGGGGTTAGCTTGATTCTGCATGCGAATGGATGTATTCCATTGTTTGCGTGCTATTCGTTAACCTCGTAGCCTCGTTAATCCGCTCCGTCGCGTATCACTTGGCTTTGGCGTTGTGGACTGACGCTCGTGTTTGGATACGTCGCCCGATGGTTCGTCGGTTTGTGCCGAGCTGTGCTAAGGGACCTATAAATAGTTTTATACGCCTACAGATACCCCCTCCAAAGTATTTTAGTCTCGTTCTTTTATAGAAGATTCTGGAATACTTTGGATATGATTGTCCCATCCTTCGGGATATTTGGAGTGGCTTCTATTCTTGATTCCTTCAATCCTTCAGGCTATTCGGTGCTTTGTCGAATGTCTGTAAGGTTTTCGGTGCTGCATTTATTGTTTGATCGTTGTCGGAATTTCGAATTTGAAGTCGATTCCTGATTTTATGATCTTTAGCTCATGTTTGTTGGTTCAACATAGAACTGACCATCGAATGTTGAGTCCATATATGCGACGCGTTGTCCGGCGTAGTGTTGTTGAGTTATCCTTAAGAATATTTTTGGAAAAATATTCTCCAGGATTCTCAACCAAAAATAGGGAACAGTTTATACTCAGTTTATACTCGTATACTTTTCGGAGTATTAAGAAGCAGTTTATACTCGTATACTTTTCGGAGTATACAGGGAGCAGTTTAACCTCTTGCACCTGTTGGAGGATTGAGAAATAGTTTATACTCGTATACTCTTTGGAGTGTTGTTTTGACTTAATTGAGCGATATAACGTCGGCTTCAACCAAGGTCTGAATGCTATTCTTGAGAGCGAAGCAATCCTTGGTGGGATGAACGACCCTCCTATGGTATGCACAGTACTTTGGGTCCGTAGTGTTGTCAGCTTCCTCCTGATTTGTGATAGGTGGTAGCTTGATCTTGTTACTTCCAAGGAGGGATTCGAAGATGGCTGGAACGTCTTCGTCCTTGAAGGAATACTCTTTTTGGAGTCCCGGACCCGGTGTCAGACGGTGCTGTTCCCATCGCTTCGAGGATGTCCAATGAAATATTATTGTGACAAGTCTCGAGGATAAAGTCTTCACTGACCGGATCCCTGCAATTCATTGCTTTGTTTCGGAATCTCTTTACGAAGTTTTCAACTGTTTCACCATTCTTCTGCTTCTCGTCAAATAGTGTGCCAATTGAAATCTCGGTGTCGTCGTCGAAGAAGTTAGCGAGGAACTTAGTCTCCATGTCGTCCCAGCTGTTCACGCTTCCTGGCTTGAGTCGGCGATACCAATCGAAGGCGGCTCCACGAAGAGTGCCAACGAAGGACCGTACCATCAGAGGCTCATTGCCAGAGATAACACCCAGGTGCGATTTGAAGTAAATCAAATACTGCGTGGGTGAACCCTTCCCATCAAACGGTGTGAAGTTAATTAGACTGAACTTCGCCGGATAGGGGATTGATTCCCATTCTCGTGGGTATAGACAATGAATGCCCGTCTTCTTCATCTCTTGAGCGGAGATCAACGTATTGATTTTGCTCTCGAGATTTTTAATCTTTAGGTTTTCACCTGAGTCTTCATCAGCATTCTCGTTACCACCCCCTGCATTGATGGGAGGATTATTGGCGTTATGGGTTTCATTCGCACCTGTGTCCTCATCTTCCAGGTTGACCTGGTTACGACGACTTGGTTCGCCTTGCTGGTTTGTCAGCGCTCGGATTTGCTGGTCATGCATTTCTTTCATATTCTGCATGGCCATCTGCATTTCGAGCTTGAAGCTCTCTTGTTGTTTAGGCATGGCTTCTTCAAGCATCTTGGCCACCTGTTCGGCGCTTATCATCAGCGACTCGCGGGGTTGTCCATCGCTAGACACCGTATTATCTGATGCGACAGCAGAGCAGGAATCCGATTCTTCATCTTCTGACGGTAATCTTGTTCGAACCCTACCATAAGTTCCTCGTATGATGGCTCCAGACCTCAGACGAGTTAGATACCGGGGTACTGGCGGGATTGACTCGGGATTATCCCGTGTCGATGCCCTTTTGCTGGTCATATTGGTGGTGACACTCGGAAATTCTCCATCTTCAACCACCGTTCTTCTTCGTCGGAAACGCCTAGGCCTTGGTTTTGGCGTTTCGGTACTAAGTCTTTCGAAAACCGAAACTCTTTCAGGGACTGCATTGATGCAGTTGCACTCTGACAGTACCGCCCGAATGAGCTTTGAACAAGGGCACTGAGTTTCTAGCCTTCGAGGACTTCTCTTTCTGGCTTTGCTCGTACCCCCAGCACGATAGTACAGCTCTTCCGTTTGAAAGTTGGAGCAACCTATCGTGTGTTGGCACGATTTCTCGGGTATAACGCAATCATCATCAGACGATAATGTTTCCTTCTGAGGGTGAACTGCCTTCTTTGGGCCTTCAAGAGTCACGCGCCTCGAAACGCGCCTTTGCGGGCGTGAATTCTCCACGGGCTCCTGAACTTCAATACGCAAAGTAGTGCGCTTGGGTGCCATGATTTCTTTGTCATGTTGAGGGTTGCGGCGACCCCCAGCATGTTGATTCGTTCGGGGCTTTCTTAGTGGGCCCAAACGTCCTTGAATTGGAGCTTTGCTTCGCTCATCAGGAAGCGGACCAAGGCGCTCCAAAACTAGCTTCTTTCTTCGGGACGATTCTGCGTGATCTCCCGGAGTAGTTGCTGGAATTATCGGCGACACGGGTTGTTTCGCCGGAGGTTGAACTTTGGTTGGAGGCTGCTTCGGCCTCCACATTTGGCGGGTTGATGGCGGCTTTTTGCCCATTCTTTCTTCCTCCAATTTCTTGGCCTCCTGCACAAGAATTTTTGCTTGTGCAAGTAACGCGCGGCGTTTGTGAATCCGCTCTTCAAGTGTCGAACGGTTCTGTTTGACCCGGATCCATTCGTTCGTTGGCGGCTTGGAGGAGCTGACATTCTTCAGTTGTTGAGGCTTGTTCTTCAGATCCGCGTTGTAGCGGATCCCGTCAACGGACTCCATGGCCTTTGCGAACTGTTTCGCAAGGCGTTGACGTTGCCTTTGGCGGGCTCTCTTCGAGAGAGTCACTACGCCCTCTTCGGCAGAAGGGTTGGCCATAGCAGCTCCGACCTGGTTGGGATTTGGAGGGATCTCACCCGATGCGGCTTTGGCATCCAGCGGGGTGAGATCTTCGTTGGTGTTTTCAACGTCTTCAAACCAACGAGTTTTTCTCCTGGAGGAGAGTTTCTTGGACTTGCGGGGGGAGGTTGATCCGGACGAGGACGACAAGTACTCCTCGAACTTCTGCTGGTCGAACTCGTATTCGACCTCCTCCACGACCGGGATTGAGATCCGCGGCTGCGACGCTCCGATCTCGGCAGCGAGATCGGCGACTCCCACTGTGGTCGCCAGATTGTTCGCGGGAAAAATCGTTGCTTTCTTCACTGATTCCATTGCTATCTTAAATAACTATTTTTCGGTTACAAAGATCCGGTCTTTTTATAAGCTCCGGTTGCAATGAAAATCAAATAAAAGAAAAGAAAAATTATAACTTTTTATCCTTTTGTGTCGAACAAATCGCGAGCTCCTGTTTTGCGGTCGCTCGCTTGCGTGGGTTGTTTGCCTGCGCCGGAGTTTATCCGTGGACCACCGCGAGATCTAGATCCGGTCGGATCTACGCAGTATGACGGGTATTATTTCGCCAAGGAAATAATAGCCGAGGGTACTATTTCGCCAAGGAAATAGTAGCCTTTAATTCTCGGGATCAAAGACCAAGCTTTGATCCGGAGTACACCTGCGTAGATCTGAGATCCGGTCCTCTCGAACTCTTGCCTTATTTGGCGTTGACGATCGCCGAGCACCAGATCTGGAAGAACAAGTCCTCGAAGTTCCAAAGCTTGGATCTTTTTTAGATCCGAGTCTTCAATCCAGCAGAGCTTCGCCTCTCCAAATTTTCCCACCCTTCAACAAATGAACCAAGCCCCCTATTTATAGGCACTCTGAACTGTGCCCGGGCACAGATCTGGCCGGCCACCTATAGGTGGCTCGGCTCTTGGGCCACCTAGCCACCTATAGGTGGCTCGGCTTTGGCCGAGCTACCCATGGGTGGCATCGGCCACCGAGCCACCCATGGGTGGCTCGGCCACGAGCCACCTATAGGTGGCTCGGTTTTGGCCGAGCCCCTATAGGTATTTGGGTTTCGTCGTTTTCCGTCTTTTGGTTCTGTCCGTGATTCGGTTGTGTGGTTGATTTAGACTCTGATTCGTTGACCTGATTTGGCAGTAAATCCACTTCTGAGTTCGAGTCCGAAACTGATCTTGATTCGATCGTGATTCGTCCGAGTCTGCCCTTGGTTGGATGACTCGTTGACTTTTCGAACCCTATTCCGCACGCGAGTGGATTTATTCTGTTGTTTGCGTGCTATTCGTTAACCTCGTAGCCTCGTTAATCCGCTCCGTCGCGTATCACTTGGCTTTGGCGTTGTGGACTGACGCTCGTGTTTGGATACGTCTCCCGATGGTTCGTCGGTTTGTGCCGAGCTGTGCTAAGGGACCTATAAGCAGTTTTATACGCCTACAGGCACATAGATGGTGATGACTTACTAACCTTCTTCAATTCAATGAATTATTAAGTCTTAAGTACAACCCAATCACTTATAGTTTAAACTAACTTAAGCCAAATTATCATATGACTTGACCAACCAAATATTTAAGTTAACTCATACGTATGGATTTACGCCCAATAAAATGCTACTCAATTTAGGATGAACACATAAAATTTTAGCATTGTGTAAACTTATCCAGGATGCGATCCACAAAAATATCTATATTACTATATAAAAATTATTGTGAGGTTAGGCAAAAGTGAGGAATGAGTAACTATTCCTTCAATTTGTTAAAGAAAAGAGATCATTTTAGTAAACGATGATGAGCAATTTGGTTATTAGCCAATAGCTTATTGGCGTGGATTTCATCTCTTCGTCCCTCACCCCTCTAGAAGGTCCAATTGATTTCATATTTCAATTCCTTCTTCTCTAGTTTAAATTTAAATTTCATTCCTCTCTTTCTAGAAAATTCTATTATTTTCATTTCTCGATCTTCTTCTCAAATTTAAAATTTCACATATGATCATTTTAAAAATCCTATAATTTTAAAAAAATCAAAATGCAACACATTGTAATCTAGATAGTGACATATCATAAATGATCAATAAACTGTTATATTAACTTTAAGCTCAATTTCATTCCTGTAATGAAGGATACAAGAATAATTTTTAGATGTATCAAAGGTGTCATAAAAGGTGTGCATACTTTTAAAAAAAATTCTTATTATTTTGATCATGTGAAATACTATAAATAAACATTAAATAATATAATATAATTGATATGCACGGGACCAAGTATTATTTAGATAGAAGTTTATAATATAACTTGCTTGTACATTTACACGTGTCAATATTCTAAGTTAGAGTATAAAAATAATTTGCACCTTGGCCCCACCTTCTAATTACCATAGTGTAGTGATTTGCACCTTGGCTGTAGCCAAAATTATCTATGCAAGCCACATTGTAGGGACCATATATTTTCAATTTTTAAATTCCTTGCAAAGTTTGGCTAATATATGTATAAGTGAGGACCAGATGTTAAATCTCTACTCTGATTTGAATTGTTTCTTTATTATTTATATCAAAAGATTTGCCGCTAGGTCTAAGACTATGTTGTACCTTTGTTGTGTGGAAAAATATATTAAAAGTTCTGAAGCAGTGAAATAATAAAAGTGAAAAAAAGAGTTCCCATTAGAGAATGTTTGGAGATCAACATATAGTGATTATTGTAAGTTCCATTTTCATCTATTTATTTAACTTTTAGATTCTAAAATAGAGAAAAATATGTCTGTCATATATTCATAGTCTTTTTGTTTGATGATAATACTAAATTCTCTTTGTAATTTCTTTAATAAATTCAAATTTAGTCTAGATTACTTTTAGTAAATATTATAATAATAGTCTTACATAATTTAGAGTAAATAGTATTAATAAGTGTCATTTGTATTTTGTTAGAGGCATGAATTACTTGAAAAGAAAAACCAAAACCGAAAAAATAGGGTTTTCAAATTTGAGACATGTCCTTTCTTTCAAAAAAATCTTTATATTATCGAAAGTGATTATTGATACATTAGTCTTATATTTTTCTAATATAAGAAATAGAAGCGACCCGTCAAGCTGGAATTTCTAGCTATGTCACTGCTACGTGGATTTTTCTGCTAATTTGAATGGAGTTTGCCATATTTGTTTTTTTAAACAAAATTTTTCTGATATTATTTGCAAAAAAAACGTATGATATAAGTTCATGACAACCATTCTTTTTTGCTCCTCAGATGATCACTCATCAAGCTTTCACCGTCTTGATCCTCTCCGTCATCATCTTTGGCGGGGTCACCTCTCCCTTCATCAAATACATCTACCGCCCTGAGGACCGCTTCATCGCCTACAAGCGTCGTACAGTCCAGCACACAAAACCCAGCGCCGAGCTCCGCATCCTGGCCTGCATCTACCACCAAGAAAATGTCAATTCCATCCTCTCCCTCCTCGAATCCACCCATCCCTCCTCCTCCTCTCCCATCTGCATTTACGTCCTCCACTTCACCAACCTTGTAGGCCGTGCTGCCGCCATCCTCGCCCCTTACAAACATAACAAGAGCTCCAACCTCATCACCGAGACCGACCACATCGTTAACGCCTTCAACTACTTCTCCCAGCAAAACCCCAACAACTCCGTCACCATCCTCCCCTTCGTCTGCCTCTCCCCTTACTCCACAATGCACGACGATGTCTGCTCCCTCGCACTCGACAAGAAAGCCGCTCTCGTCCTCCTCCCTTTCCACAAGCACCTTGCTATTGACGGGACCATCGAGTCCATCAATCCTAACATCCAGAACGTCAACGTCAACGTTCTCCACTATGCCCCGTGCTCGGTAATGTTGATTATAGTATGTAGTCTAGTTGAGCTCGAATCAACTTAAATGGATAGGAAAAGCTATCCCATAAACTTTTTATCTATTGATTTCGCTTTGAGATTTTGTGTTGGCATGCCATACACATCAAGGCACACCTATTCAAAATAGCCTTAAGTTGATTCACAAATCTCAAACAAAAATGAATGGATACAAAGTTGAATAGATAAATTCTCGTGTACACGATTCTAGCTAAACTCCGTATACATTAATCCACACTTTTTATAGCTAATGGTGCATTAAAACCTCCTTGTTTCCTACCTGTTACTGATACTTTCCAGGTAGGAATCCTTGCCACTTTAAGCACGGCGACGATGAGCCGTGTGGCGGTGTACTTCTTCGGTGGGCCTGATGACAGGGAGGCCTTGGCATACGGGATGAGGATAGCGGAGAACGATACAGTTGGGCTGACGCTGGTGAGGTTTCGGCCACCGAAGGAGTTGAGAGATAGCGGGATGGAGACAAAGCTCGACGATGCAATTGTGGATGAGTTTAGGAGAAGAATGGTGGATGACAACCGGGTGGTTTATAGGGAGGAGGTGGTGATCGACGGGGAGGGGACAGTGGGGGTGATACGGGCGATGAGTAGTCAGTTTAGTTTGCTGATAGTCGGGCGGAGGGAGGGGAAGGAGTCGAGGTTGACGGAGGGGTTGTCAGCGTGGAACGAGTATCCCGAGCTCGGGGTCGTTGGGGATTTGCTGGCATCCACGACGGAGGGGTTGTCAGCGTGGAACGAGTATCCCGAGCTCGGGGTCGTTGGGGATTTGCTGGCATCCACGGATTTCGGAGGGAGGGTGTCAACGCTGGTGGTGCAGCAGCAGACAAGGTTTGGTGCAGGTGGAAAAGGGCAGACGGCCGGGAGGCAAAAGGTGCATCATCAACGTCAAGTTGCGCCTGCCGAGTTTGATGAAGAGTGACGCAAAATTATAGTCTACTGTGTAAGTTGTGTACTATAAGATGTAAGATCCAATATTTAGGGTCCTTACTTGCTATTATATGGGGTGGAATTTAGTCCTATATTGGAGAACGTTTAGATAGACAAATTGTTAAATATGCATCAAAGCAGATTAATTAGCTTAATGCGAGTTGGTTCATGGGACTCCACACTCGCAGAAAGTAGTGTTAGAGCTCATACTTGTTGAGTTTGTATGGGGTTTGTCCTCATTTTTTAAGAACTCTTTTAGGGGCTGTTTGGTTGCTTTTCATCACATTCTAAAAATAATTTCCCATTACTTTTTGGTGTTTCCCTCACTTTCATGAAAATGCACTTTTCGTGTTTGTTTCGTCAAAAAACATGGAGAATAATTACTTTCCGTCACTTTCATTAGTTTGCTTCAATTTGAAAAGAGAAGAAAGTAGTTGATATGGAGAATAATTACTTTCCGTCACTTTCATTAGTTTGCTTCAATTTGAAAAGAGAAGAAAGTAGTTGATATGTGAATATATTGAAAGTACCCTAAAGCATTAGTTTGCTTCAATTTGAAAAGAGAAGAAAGTAGTTGATATGTGAATATATTGAAAGTACCCTAAAGGGGGGTGAATATGGTATTTACTAATCTAATCCGATATTAATGCCAAATTAAAACTTTACTAATGATATCCTAGCAATATAATGTATAAAGAGATGAATGCAAGGATATAGAATTAAATGATGGGCGATATAAACATGAACACAAGATATAAGAGAGATAGTGCGTAAATGACAAACACAAACACAAAGCAAATGATCACAGAGTTCGGTCGATCCACGACCTACGTCTCCGCTCCTCACCCTCGAGGAGAATCTCCACTATCTCAAAATTACTACACAATCAGTTTTTTAACGCTCACCGATAAACGTTTATAATCTCACATAATTATCAATACACAATACACACTACAACAGAAAAACTAATTCGCGAGGAACAAGTTTGTCGCTGAAAGTCGAGATTTCCTCGCTGTAGTGTGTTGACGAGGAAAAAACTTTGGTCACCATTTCCTAACGATAGGGTGGTCAAGAAAAGTTTCTGGGACGAATATTATAAATTCTCGCGAAATCCTTTTTGCGATGAATATTCTTTTCTCGTTATTACTCTTTAGCCTCGATATTTTTCCTCACTAATCTCATACCTTTTTCATCGCTAAACTACAGTTTCCTCGCCAACGATACGTGGATAATATTTAGTTTATATATAATAAAAGTTCTAAGAAAACTATTTTTGTCGTTATAAGTATCTTTCAGCGAGGAGACCGTTCCTCACTAAATCTTTAACGAGGAAATTGATTTTCTTCATTATATGTATCTTTTTCTCGTGGAAAAAGTTCCTCAGTAAAGGGACTCAAATACGAGAAAATTTAAATTTGTCGTTGTAGGTTGTACCCCATATTCCTCGCCAAAGAAATTCAATTTCGAGGAAATTTACATTTGTCGATATAGGTTATATGGTCTATAGCGAGGAAAATTACTTTTACCGTTATATGTTGTATCTCTATATCGAGAAAATATGTTTTTTTCGCGGAAGCAGTATACTCTCTAACGAGGAAATATTCTTTTGACGACGTAAGTATGTAGCCTATAGGGAGGATTATTACTTTCATCGTTGTAGGTTGTACCGCTATAGCGAGGAAATATGCTTTTGACGATGTAAGTTATATACTCTATAATGAGAATGTATACTTTGACGACGTAAGTATGTAACCTATTGCAAGGAAACATATTTTCATCACCTTAAGTTGTATTGTCTATTTCGAGGAAATTTACTTTCATCGACCTAAATATATAGCGAGAAAACTTATAATGAGGAAACTTTATTTCATCAATAATAATGCTATTACAAGAAAAACACTCAAAATATAAATAATTGTCATCAATTGTCACCACAGTACATCAAAACAATTAAAATAAATAAAGCAAGCAAGTTTCTACCATAAATAACAATGCTAGTCTAAAGCAATAGCAAATGCAACACGATCAAAGAAACATTTCTCCAAGTTTAAGTTCACTAAGAATACTAAGCTGATGGATGTTGCTTGGAAAAATTAGCCATAAACTCCTCAAACTTTTTGGCTTGCTCCTCCAATCTTTGGATTACCTCATTTTACGTATCGATCTTTTGTTGTTGAGTTCCTACAAGTTGTTGCGTCTTTTGAAGTTGTTCTTACAACTCTTTATTCTTTTTAGATATTTCACTCATCGAAGAATGAGAGAACCTTAATGGTGGTGGTCTAGGGTCAAAACCACAATCCTTAATGTAGCCTGATTTGACTTTGAGAACTTTCGCACAAATTTTCTCATCTGTCATTGTTCGAGTTCCATCAGGTTGAGTGGTATCTGCTCTCATCTTTATCATTTGATCCTATAAATAAAAAAATATATCCAGTTCAATTATATTCAACTTCTCAATTACAACCTAATCAATATAATCCTCTTTAGAACACTAATATCAGTTTCACCTATATTCTTAAAATATTATAAAAGCATGCATAATTTTGAGTTGTCCGATGATGTATGATATCGAACTTCATCCATAATACAACTAGTGTACGTATGAACACGTAAATGTGGTTTACATGCTAGACAATAAAGCTTCTCATCAGTTGCATCCATCAATCCATTTTTTCTCTTTTTAATCATCTATGAATAACAATTGAAACAATAAATTTAGCATAGTGGTCATATACAATAACTAACTACTATTTAAAATTGTGTATGAACAACTTATTTCTTTTTCAAACCAATCAGGGAACTCATTTTCTTGTCTTTCATACAACTTATGATTACTTGTTTGCCTTAACTCATCCTCATGTTCCCTACAAGTACAAATTAGATAATTCAATCTCTAATCTAATTTAAATTTTTTTTTGAACTTAATACACACAAATGCAAAAAAGGCACTTACTTGAGATAAGGTTTTACCTCATCATAGTTGTATAGTACATACCAATGAGCTTTATTCACTTCCTTCCGGTCCAGTAATATATATTTTTTCCGCTAAATGGACGAACTTTCTGAGAGAAAATCGGTAAACTACCTACTACTTGGTCATCTTCTACATCGACATTTCGTTTTGCCTGATTGATACGGGTTTCAATCTCACGAAAATACATAGAACAATATGTCACTGCTTCATTGACAATACATGCTTCTGCAATAGAACCTTCAGGTCGAGCTTTATTTGTAACATACTTTTTATATGTTCCCAAATTTCTCTCAATAGGATACATCAACCGATAGGTAACTGGACCACCAAGTTAAAGCTTCACGAGACAAATGGACTGCCAAGTGAACCATTACATCAAAAAAAAAAAACGGTGGAAAATTTCTCTCTAATTTGCACAATATTATAACATTCTCCTTCTCCATTCTTTCCAAGTCTGACACCTTTAAAGTTTTTGCACATATCTCTTAGAAAAAAATGACCAGCTCAACAATTGCAGTGCACACATCCTTGTCCAAATATGAACGAATACCAACTGGGAGGAGGCGTTACCAGCTCAACAATTGCAGTGCACACATCCTTGTCCAAATATGAACGAATACCAACTGGGAGGAGGCGTTGAAGTAAAACATGGCAATCATGACTTTTTAAATTATGTATCTTCCCATCGACAATGTTCATATTTTTGCAAATATTAGCAACATACCCATCAGGAAATTTGACAAATTTGAGGAACTTACAAAACAACCTACGGTATTCCAATTTCAAAACATATCTAGCATGAGGCTTCTTTAATTTAATCCCTTGACGTGTGAGATGCAATCCTTTCCTTATCTTCCTATCTGCCAAGTCCAAACTAGCCTTGTTGGTCTCTTTTGTTTTCCCATCTATATTTAACAAAGTACCAATGACACTATCACATATATTTTTTTCAACATGCATCACATAAATATTATGTCTCAACCTGAGCTTGGACTAGTACTCGAACTCAAAAAGAATACTCTTTCTAGTCCAGTTTAGCTCATGAGACTCACAGTGTCGCTTTAAATCAGGATTGTTAGGATGTTTCCCATGCCTAGCTTTATAAACAAGATCTAATTGCCGCAATATGTCATCCCCAGAAAATAATCTGGGAGGAGGACGATCTTCAACTAAACCGTTAAAATCTTTACTCCTCCACTCATGAGCCTCGGGAAAATTTCTTCAAGCTCCCATAAAACATAATTTTCCTCTCAACCCCTCTGAAGTTACATCTTTGTTACAAACAGGACAAGCTTTGTACCCTTTTGTACTCCATCCAGATAAATTTTCGTAAGCAGGAAAATCATTTATAGTCCACAATACACATGCCCGCAAATTAAAATTTCTCCCAATAGAGGCATCAAAAGTTTCAACTCCAATCTCCCACAATTCTTTTAATTCATCTATTAATGGACAAAGATACACATCAATGTCTTTCCTAGGTGCTCGAGGTCTAGGTATGAGTAATGACATCATTGAATACACTCCTTTCATGCATTTCCAAGGTGGCAGATTGTACGGCACTAGCATAACTGGCCACATACTATAACTAGTGCTCATGTTTCCAAATGGATTAAAACCATTTGTAGCAAGCCCCAACCTCACATTTCGACAATCTGCAGCAAAGTCAGGATACTCCTGATCAAAGTGTTTCCACTCGGCAGAATCAACTGGATGTCGTAGGAAACCCTCTTCATTTTGTCTTCTTCTTTTATGCCATTTCATTTTAGTCATTGTATGTCTCGACATATACAACCTCCAAAATCTTGGCTTCAATGGAAAATAACGCAAGACTTTTTGTGGAACTTTCTTGCGTTTGCCATCACAAGACTTGTATCTCGGCTCCTTGCACACTAGACATTCATCCAGTTTCTTATTCTCTTTCCCATAAAACAGTGCACAATCATACTTGCATGCATGTATGGATTCATACCCCAAACCCAATTCTAGCAACATATTTTTGGCATCATAGTTCGATG